GAAGGGTAAATCAGTCTCATTCTACATCATTCTACATTGCCTGTACCTCATGGTAACCCGCACCAATGCTAGTTGTCGCGTTGCAGCTGTGCAAGGCTACAAGAATCGACAGGAAACGCGTACGTCAGCTCGTCTGTCTACCTCTCCATTTAAATAAAAAGTTCCTCTCTCTCTCTCTCTGTCTCTCTCTCCAAATGCCCCTCCTCAGCGACCGAGGTGAAAGTGTAGGAACGTGAAGAGCTGTCAGCAAAGGAAGACGCGAATGCGAGTGTCTATTTGTGGTTTACAGGCGTGGCGTTTTCCGCGACGAATGCGCCGACGGCGTTGGAAATGCAAAACAGCAGCGTGCCGGATGTTCGGCAATAATACGCTCCTAAACGCAACGCCGACCCGCACCGAAACACAGAAACACTTACAAAGGAAGAGAGATAAAAAACTTTATTATTTACATATATACAGGGAGTAGGAGGGAGACGGCCCAGTGCGGGCCACCCCTCACACACACTAGGTGGGCTCCATAGCTTTCAAGATAACGCAACCCAGCAGGTGCACTAATTAAAGGACCAATATCGGTGCTCCCCACCGAACCCCCGTGGATCGGCGTACTCCTACGTGGGTGCGGAATACGTAGAACTGGATGGCCCATTCCAGCTTTTCGAAATTCGGAACGCCCTGGACAAAATGAAACGTGGCACCGCTCCACTTGGGAACAAAATTACGATAAAAATGTTTGCTAACCTTCCCGGCCTAGCTCGTGAATTACTGTTAGATTATTTCAACTCAGTTTGGTCGGGAGAAGCGCCACTCGCCGTACAATAGAAGACTGCTCTAGTCACATTTATACCAAAGCCTGGAAAAGCCATGAACACGGACAACCTTCAACCCATTTCTCTCACATCATGTACGGGCAAACTGACGGAGACGATGATGCTGGATCTTTTGTCTGATTTAATGGAAAATCAAAGCATTTTCGCACAATCCATGCACGGGTTTCACCCGTAGAGATCCGGGCAAGACATTCTGCTTCAACTTAATTAGTGTATCCTAGACCCTGTCGAATGCCCTCACAACGACTAGGTTGTACTCCCTACCCCCAACCCTACCCGGGAGAAGTGAGAGGCGACCCTGCTTGGCTGCTCTAACGTACAGGCCCAAAAGGCTCTGGTTCGACGAGCCCTGCAGGCACCAACCGACGCCAATGGGGTCCCGTACTAGGCAGGTGCGTAGCCAGAATTTTTTTGGGAGAGAGGGAGGGGCATCATTTTGATTTTGGGAGGGGCACCCCCTTAAGATGGCCATTTTTCGCTCTCTATATCATGGCGAAAACAATATGGGAGTTCTGGGCGGGCACATGCCAAGTGTGTCACCTTTTCGCTACGCCCCTGGTACTAGGGATCCCCACCTACAAGTTGTGGGTTCCATCTTCTTATGAGGGGGTCGCTCCATACCTCTTCAGTTTTTTTTTTATTTTCGTAAATGCCTTTAATATAACCACAACAGCTTTGAAAGCTCATGAAACACAGTTTATGAATGCACGGAGTACGACACGTTCGACTAGCCATATCGTTCGACTGGTGAACTGCGCTTTGACTATGAGCCGAACGACATCTCATTCATTTATTTTTAAAAGCGTTAGTCTTTCTTGGAGTACTTCGACGCAAAAATTTTGGTGCATCTTTATGTCTGTACATATGTCTGTTCGTCCGCCGAAACGATACGTCAAACGGCCAAAATCCAACCCGATCCGCAGCGCCCACCACTATTGCTCAAGCTTCAGCGTTCATACTTGTGCGGTTATGAATTAAAAAGCAGTTATCGCGCATATCTGAGGCACAAGAACAAAACTTCAATATTCTGTATGTGTGCCCTTATACTAGAGAAAAATTACATATATAATTATAACGACTGTAGCGTTTATCACGCTGTGTGGCATTGCAACGCGATGCTCAAAAAGGCAAGTGTTTACAACGCTTGGGTAAAACGACACAGTGGCGGCACCTGCCCGTCGCTTTGCGTTATATACCTTATCGCCTCCGAGAGAGGCACGCACGCCTTCCTTCGTTTTCGAAGATAACTGCCAGATAGCGCTCGTGTCTCGCGTGCTTCGATCCGCTCGTACGCTTTCACTGCGCGGATCGAGGCACGCTTACGCAATGCCTCTGGAATACAATTCACCAATTTTCTCACGCAGAACATCAAATAAACGTTTTGTTCACTCTCTCCTGACGCAAGACTATCGTCTTTCGACGACCTTGCAGTGAAACATGCAGATACGGGGCCATTTGTTTTACTCTGCAAGTGATCGCGTTTATACTTTCCGAGAAGTAAACTCACCTCGATAACATGGGGCGAAGTAGTCGGCTCCAAGCAATTTTGCTTCACTTTTGTAATCTAGCGTTTTCACCGGCTGTCGGAAGTGCAACAATCTCCAAATGACTTTGCACTGCGGAATGCAGCACCCTGGCATTTTCACGCCAAGGTTCTTGTAGGAGCGCTTAGCGCGAGGATGGTGTTGTAGCGGAAGCTAGGTCTACGGTGTAATCAAACGCAGCGCATACCGCAGCTTGCACGCTCGGGCCAACATGCAGCTGATGCAGTACGGAGGAGCAGAAACGACTGGACACGAGAACCAATATGGCGCTTCCTGCCATGGCAACCAGAACTGGCAACATTGTGTTTTAGCGAGTGGCAGTGGTGGCTCAAAGGCTGACACCTCACCAAAAACGAAGGCACCGCACACATGCAGGCTCCCTAACCCTAAGCGAGCGTGGGAACGCTCCGAATTCTGCGCCACGTCTGCCTCAGCGTTGCACCGACGCTGCGCTGCGTCGCCACGTGACTGCGTTTGATTAAAGAAACAACCAGACGGAAGTCGCTAAGTGGACGCGTATCTCGAATGCCTTAACAAGGGTGAAGTCGACAAGGGGCAGCAAAAGGAGAGCTCATTCCGCACACTGAGTTGGCGATTCTTCCTAACAAGGTTTTCCTTACGCCAAGGAAACCCTACATGCTTACCGTAAACATCAGCGTCATTACAACTCTCTCACTCTTTCAGCTAGCTCAGCTGTTTGTGTTGAAGGGTGGTGCCTGGTGCTGCCGTCTGGACACAGAAGACTGAGAGCGCGTGTAATTTTGTCAAGTCTTTAACTCACTGAGAAATGGTGGATTTAGTGCAAGCTATAGACGCTTCTAGTTCTCTTTGAAAGCCACACCAAGAGCACCTATCCATACTGAATAATAGCTCTTTATCGCTTACCTTAAGTGGGGGTTCCGTTTCTGGTGAGCCTACATAGCTGGCTGTTTTAGGTTGATAGCAGTCTTCGTTACAGTGCACACTGCCACTGCACTACCGCCCTTCTAAATGCAATATTTCTGTAAAGCTACGTGGAGTTATCACTCCATCTTGGTGCCCACTCGGAGTTTTCACCAGTTTTTTTTTAATTTTTGGGGCACCAAGTAGTTGCATATCTTCAATAATCCGGCGCAAAGGTAGTGGTAACGCGTCAAGCGGTGCCAGCGAAGCTTGCTGAACAGAAATCCCTGGATGTTGCGTACCGCGGTGCGGCAACCACTGAAAAGTGAGAGTGCGATTGCTTCGCTTCCTAACGAGCCAAACCCAGTAAGAATTTCGGCTTACTCAAGTGAAGCGAGACTGCTGGTAGCCCATCAGGCGTCTCGCGTTTGCTCGCGTATTTTGTTCACCGTTTCTTGCTGCAGGCTAAGGTGAATGTCTTCGACAGCGTTCGCGTATCCTAGGTTGCCGAAGGTATTATTGCTACGTTCACGCATTTCCAGTAAGAAGCCTACAAACGGGACAGGTCCGTACGTGAAGGGGCTCACTAGTTGTGAACTGTCGGTGTCGCTCAGCATTTTGTAATAAGTGTTTCTGTCTGGGTTGCGACATTGAATACACGGAACATCACTGCTAACCAGTCAGACCATGAGGAAATAAAGCTGCAGTGAGCCTTATGAACAGCAAGAGCACATCACCTTGCTTAGAAAGCGGTGGGGGGGGGGGGGGGTCTGTGATGGCGGCGCACAAATGCCACACTAAATTTGTGGCACCAGTGTGCACATTGCTCGCAAGTTTTGGCAAAAGTCCCTTTCTTTTTGCGTTTTACTAACGTTCGAAGGAGGCCATACCGAGTAACAGTGCCCATTACATGAGCGTTGATGTCATATTATAGGGGGTTTCAGCGTATTTAATACCTAGCAATGCGCAAACAACTTCAGCTACCGCAAGGGTTGAATTAAGATCATTCTGGAGGAGGAGATGTGCCATTCGGCTATGGTGGCTATAACAAGCGTCAACGCGTGTGCATCCACATCAGGCAGTGCTATAACTGCCAAACAACAATACACTTTATACAAATGGTCATAGGTATAAACAATAGGTATAAACAATAAACTTCTTCACTAGGTATAAACATCTTCACTAGGTATAAACAATAAACTGCTTCGGCGACGACACGTTTCGCTCCTCTGTTATGCCGATTCCTGTGATGGAGGGATAATCTGCTATCTGTTCTACTGTTTTTTTTTTGCTTGTTCTATGTATTTCTATTACGTATATCCACGACGGAAATACGTCAGTAAAGTTTTGGTAAAACCCGGAGTGAACCATTTTCATGTTAAGCAATGAAAGACGAATGAAACCTCTGTTGACGCAACAGCAATGAACTGTTGTCCATCACTGAGCATGACACGAACGCATGCATGAGCACTCCTTCGAAATAAAATGACGCAAATTTTTGTAACTTAGAAGTGTGCCAGTTTGGGCTAGTTGGTATGACATGACGATAGTCATAGCGCGAGAACACAATGACTTGTACCTTTGTCGTCATTAAAACTGTCGGCTAATTTTTGCTCGCAAAAATTTCATCTTTGCTGAAGTGTTGCATTGAAAAGTTTTGACGAAGTCTTGCTTAACTTTTAAAACCAAAGCGCTTTGGTAGTGCTGTGAGTCATATTTATTTTGCATGCCCTTTTTTTAACACACGATGATGGGCAGGTTCAGCTTTCTGCTGCCGATTGGCGCTGTCTTCGGCAGTGGCCTGGGCGCTTTCGCCAGTCAAGCCATGGGACGCCGTTTCACACTGTTCCTCAGCGCCTTGGTCTACATGGTGGGATACGCGACCATATTTGCCAACGCCATCTTCCTCACAGTCTTGTTTGGTCGTTTTGTGACGGGAGTCGCCACGGGAATGGTCTCCCTCTGCGTGCCCACCTACATCACCGAGGTCTCTTTGCCTGCTCAGCGAGGATCTATGGTACGTGATGAGCCTATGGTAAAAGAGACGGAGGAAGTCCATGAGGATAGAGCATCGAATATTATATTTGTGATAAGGAAAAGAACTCGAGCCTTCCCTTACGTATATGTCTGAGACTGTACTTGAAGGTGAAAAACTATCTTCTTTTTTTCTCAATCACTTCTTTTGTACTTCTTTCCCCCACTCCCGAAAACCTGCACCTACAGCGCGAGTTTGTAGCGCCTCCATCATCTGCCAACCCTTGGCCAAGCGACAATATTCTGTGCTGACATCATCATGAGACGTCTCCTTAGGTATATGCTATGACAATGTTCATCATGATGTTTCCATGTTATCGACGGCAGCTTTTCGTGTGTGATGAGACAATCAAAGTTGTGTTCCTTAATACGCACCTTGAAGAATGTCGTTCTTTAAGAGACACTAAAAAACAAAAAAAGTTTTTTCCCGTACTAGTAAAGGGTTATTTCAAAATTCCAAAAACAGCTTAATCCCCAAACGCCGTGATTTCACGATCCGCAATACCCGCGAAAAGAAAATACTGGTGGCGGCACCACTTTCAAATTCACGCACCAAACACCGTGAAGCAAAAAAAAATTGAAAGCATCTATTGGGTCCTACGTAGCTCTTAACTGATAAAATGAAACGAATTGTCTTCTGTTGGTGCCGCATACTTAGCATAAATATTATCTAGTCAACGTTTGAAATTTTTTACGTTACGCATGGGGATTTTGGAGTGGAATTGAAGACTAAACCTTCAACCATTAGTTCCTTTTCTACTGAGATAGTGCAACATATGGCATTAGAGTTTTCAGAGTGCAGTTTGCCAATTTCAACCAAATCATTCTTCATATATAGTGTCCCTTTACGAATGGCAAACTCACGGACGCTCCATGCTCAATCCAGACGCCGGCGCCGCCATGCTGTTTCGCTACTCACGGGGAATACGCAGTTGTCGCGCCTTGAGCAGAAAGTTCCCTAGAGGCACGCAGTGTGCTCGGATCTCAAAGACGATGAAGTGAAGTGGGGGCACCTTCAACGCTTCGCCCAGTTGACTAGGAGGCAGCACTGTGCGCACCACATCTACCCTAGCTCTCCCAGTCAACGCCAGGCCTGTTTAGTAACGCATTGGCTGAAAGTTCGTAGTCGTCTGGTGTGGTCCTCTTTCCTGTAGTGTTCGTAGTTCTGTCGCATGTCCATAGTTCGGTGATTCCTTGTTTTTAGTCCTGTGGTGTGGTCCTTTTTGCCTGTAGCACCACGCCGTATGTTCACTTGCTTTTTTTTGTTTTTTTACATCACCAACGAATTCAGCCAACCTAAATTGAACAATTTATGAGTGTTTGAAGCGAAGCCCTAAAGAAAGAGAAACAAGACTTACTAAATGTTAAAGAGCAGCCTCCATCGTTCCGCTACATGGGAGCGTAGCTCGCCGATTAGTAAACTTTGCAATGCGAGTCGAGTGATTGCAAAGCGAGTCGAGTAAACTTTGCCATGCGAGTCGAGTAAACTTTGCAATGCGAGTCGAGCGAGTCGAACATTTTTCTTGAACGAGACGACAACATAAGATATGACAACATAACATATATTACTCGGCGCAAAGAGCGTCACTCCCTCAAGAAATATATATTGCGCTTTGTACTTACTTGGATTCAGGGTCACCAAAGTAGCATTTAGCAGGACTCACTTGGACTCAGAATCACAAAAAATTTCAACAGGACTCACTCAGACTAACCACCACGACCTGATCGGAGTCTGAGTCAGCCTGTGTGACTTGACTCATGTGTAAGTTCCCCGACCGAAGGTTGGGAAACGCCACTAAATATGGCCATGAACTGAACAATCTCATAAATGCATGGTCAAGCACCACCGTGGAGCAAGTCCTATTCAAGAGCCACGACGCAGGCAGGTCGCTCAGACATTAAATGTAGTTAGCTTCCCAAAGCTCATTGCCTGCTCACAGAGAAAAAAAATGCATGTTACTTTTTCTGGTGATTTCTAACGTGCCACATGTATGACTGTTTTTATAGAATAACGTTAAGCATCACTCGGGTGTCATTATACTCTCTTCAGGAAGTCCTTCGAGGCGTGAGTTTTCTAAACAAGTTAACGTGCATCTTCAGAAGGGTCTATGTGCTGCTAGTCGGACTGCACATAAAGAGTTACAGGTATTTTTTTTCCTTATCGCCGTGTCACGTCATGAACCTCCCTGCTTTTCTATGCATTTGTAATATCTGCAGAGGACACACACACACACGACACCACCGCATGTCATGTTGTATTGGTATTCACAGTTCGCCATGTTTTTTGAAGAAACGCAGTTAAAGATAGCGAGCAGCTTATCACTCCTTTGGCTAGGCGTATAGCCAAACGGCTGTCTTGACGACGTCAATACACAGCACCACCATTGATGATGGCTTTGCAGGGTGGCATGCTTCAGCTGGCCATCACCGTCGGCATTCTCTGGTCTTACGTCTTGGGGCGCTTCTTGGAGTGGCAGATGCTCGCCATAGCGGGCTTCGCAGGTGCAATACTGTTGGCTGTTCTAAGTCAGTATTCGGTGGAATCTCCCCGATGGCTTGTTCTTCGCGGCCGCAGAATCGACGCCATGGAGGCACTCTGGAAATTGCGTGGCACAAGCAGCAAGGTACGCACGAGAGTAATTTAATCTAGTAGCTGTGTTTAAACGTCACCTGTCGATACAGGCACCTCATAAACGATAGGTTTGTTTACTTCATGGTTATCTGTGGGGAACATGAGCGGAAACAAAGAAATGTCGCACACTACCAGGTCGATTCGTTTCAGTTAAACTCGGGTGCCTATTTGGGCCACTTGGTGTGCGTTCACGAAAAAAAATATTGGCGTAAAGCGTGTGACAAAACAACTGAGGCGGTTTCAACCGACACGCATGTCCTCACGAAACATTCCGAAAGCACAAGTAGAAAGAATTTAGTTCTGCGTTCCTATCTGTTCCTCTCTTTACTTTGTTCTATGCCGCGCGAACACTGACTAACGTTTCTTAGGCTGGCCCTCCAGTTGATTTTCTTGCTTTGAAATGCTACGCGAGAACAGATCCAAAAGGCTTAGTTGCTAGCCTTACTTCATCGAACATTTAGAATTGTTGCTATTGCAGCCGGTACCCCCTGGAAAGAAACATTCTGTTATTCGCTACACGCCTAGTGCTCATGTAGAACTCACCTGGAGTACGACAAACCAGGTTGTCGAGGAAGCAGCCGCGTACTCTTGTACCGCGTCTTTCTCTCGATTGAGGTGACCAGCAAACGCTCCGTAACTGGCGAATTGTGTTGAGATATGATAGTAGTGCTTTAAGCAGCTACGCTATATAGCTAGGTCTAATCGCGCATGTGATTCATAGATCACTCGAACCCAAACCCAATACGTGGCCCTTCCATATGCTCACTGCCGTTTATTTGGATTAACTTCAACTGACTTCACCTTCACTTGTCATCAAATACTGTGACAACAATTTCACTTCATGATTACCTAATATAGGTACGTAACATGATACTGGTAAACAGGACACGGTCGAGTATAGCAACTCCAACAACAGCAGTTGATGTTTCTTTACGTTTTCTTGTCCTTTTCTGCAGTATCAAGCGTCATAAGCAAATCCAGCTACGCTTACTCGGTTACCGTAATACCCTTGTAAAGCTGCTCAACAACATACCTGAGGAAACCAACAATGATGGTTTCGAAACGACCAAGTGAAGTATTAAACCTAGGGCCCTGTTCATAGACAGCATTTTTATAGGTCTTGTTACCGGTATGCTCTCTGCGCAGGTGGACGAGGAGTGGCACGCGATTGAGCAGGTGTTTGCACGTGCCCCTATGCGCTTGTCCCACGTGCTGCTGGCCGCGCATGCGCACTTCATCCAGCAGTTCTCAGGCATTAACATGATCATCTTCTACGCGAGTTCCCTGTTCGCCGACAGCGGTGTCTCCATCAGCGCCGCGGACTGCTCCATCATCGTCGCCAGCCTACAGGCACGATAGGTGTATTGCTGCTCATTGATAGACTGGCTTATTCATTCAACTGTCTCCCCCATCACACAAACACACACACACACAGACACGTATATATATATATATATATATATATATATATATATATATATATATATATATATATTGTGGGCATTTCGCAGCCAAGACTACCAAGACTTCATACGTGGTGGATTAGGTGGATTTTCGGTCCTCTGACCTCCCGCAGCCCGCTATACCCCCTGGAGCTTCGTTCAGGCCGCCGCTTGCGCCCACAGTCAGGCAGCATGTCCCAGACCAAGCCTGCCGGCACTGATGTCATCAACAACGCACCGCCGCAAGCTGCCCCTCCTACTTACATACACGGACATCAGCGGGAACCCCCGCTCTTCGCTGGTCTTCGGGGAGAAGACGTAGAAGACTGGCTTGATGACTACGACCGCGTAAGTGCCGCTAATAGGTGGGACGAGGCCGCCAAACTGCGCTACGTCCCTTTTTATCTGGTCGGAGTCGCGAAGACATGGTATTTTAACCATGTCGTTGACTTACCCGACTGGGCTACTTTCCAGCAGCAGCTGCGGCACGGCACGTCTTTGGGACACCAGACATTCGATCCGCCGTCGCGAAGAGGACACTCGATACTCGCCGACAACATCCCGGTGAATCGTATACTTCATACATCGAGGATGTCCTCGCACTCTGCCGGCGTGTCAATAAATTCATGCCGGAATCGGACAAAGTGCGACACATATTGAAAGGCATTGGGCCTGTCGCCTTTAATGCCCTCGCTGTGCAAAACCCAACTACCATCGCTGATGTCGTTGCGACATGCCAGCGCCTTGATGCGCTGGACTCCGTCCGCCTTCAACCAGACATCGGCGACCACCACTCCACGTCAGATGGCCATCTGCGTGACCTCATCCGGGACATTATACGCGAAGAATTGCGGTCCATGGGCTTCACACCTCCTACACCGCGACCTACACAGCCTTCGGGAATGCCCTTACGTGACATCATCAGGGAAGAACTTACATCTCTGACTGGCTCTGCGCCCGTACAGCCACCTGCTTCTCACCCTTTAGCCACGTACCCTCAAGTTGCTGCTGTGCCTCCCAGCGACGCCCACGCGACATTGCCACGTCCATCCTACGCGTCAGTTGCTGCCGCTAACCCTGTGAACTACCATTCCGTGCCCCCTGACCCTTCGGCCCACCTGACCGCGCTATCTCCAAGTGCCCCGAATGCCTTCTATTCTCCACCGTGGCACTCGTCTCGCCCTGTATGCTACTACTGTGGCTATCGCGGCCACATATCTCGTTTCTGCCGGAAGCGCCAGCAAGATGAGCGTCGGAACGATGTGCGTGAACGGGATTTGTACAACGGGGTGTCTTATCAAGGTCGGCGTTATTCGTCTCCCCCGCACCGGTCTCCATCTCCTCCAGCATCGACTGCACCACGAAACAGCCGAAACACGAGAAGCCGCTCGCCTTCGCCCTTCCGCCGTTCCACTTCTCCACTTCAGCCCGTCTCATTCGCCTCTGATATTCATTCGGAAAACTAAGTGATGCAGTTTGTGGAGGAAAAACTGCATTCGGAATTAGAACTGAAATTCCTCCATTAGGCCCGTGTAACATGGTTTCTGTGGAAGTGGAAGGAGTGCGAGTCGATGCTTTGGTGGACACAGGTGCGACATTGTCTGTGATACGTGCTGATTTGTGTGAACATTTAAGGAAAGTAATGACGCCTTACGATGGTCCCACGTTAGTTGCTGCCCAGGGGAACATCATTCGCCCTTCCGCGCTTTGTACTGTGCGTGTTTTCATCGACGGCATCCGCCATCATGTCCAGTTTGCTGTCCTGTCCCGCTGCTCTCACCAACTAATTTTAGGGTGGGATTTTCTATCATCTGCTTCCGCGGCGATTTGTTGTGGACAACGCGTCGTTCACCTCGCTGACACCGACTACATGCTTGACGACGACAATCAGAAGCCACTTCGTCTAGTCGCTGCGAAAGACATCGAACTCCCGCCACTACAAGAGCAAATTGTCACCATTACGTCCAACGGCATCTATCACGGGGATGTATTGGTCTCACCGTCACCACTTTGCGTTCGCAAAGGTATAGTTCTTCCGTCCGGTGTCGTTCGTTTTTGCAATGGCTCGGCACTTGTCACCGCGGTCAACTCTACACCGGAGAAGATCTTACTGCCACAGGGCACTACTGTGGCCCGTGTTGCTGACTTCGAGCCTGTACTCGTCACGCCACTTCAGGCCATCGCATCCAAAGAACCTTGCCTCGGTGAGCATGTTTCTTCCTCCGCCTTTACCACCACTATCAGCAGCGAATTGACATATTCACAGAGGCAGCAGTTGCTCGCATTGTTACAGAAACATGCAAATTCTTTCGATATTTGCTCGTCTAAGCTGGGCCGCACTAATACTACAGCACATCGAAATCAAACTGTTGGGACATCTATTGTACACCGCCGACCCTACCGCGTGTCTCTAACTGAAAGAAAAATTATAGAAGAAAACGTTGCGGACATGCTTAAACGGGAAGTCATCCATCCCTCATCTAGCCCTTGGTCATCTCCTATTGTTTTGGTCCATAAAAAGGATGGCTCTGTGCGGTTTTGCGTGGACTACCAGGCGCTCAATAAGATCACACGAAAGGACGTGTACCCTATGCCACGCATTGACGACGCCCTTGATTCCCTACAAGGCGCGGAATTCTTTTCAAGCATCGACTTGCGTTCTGGGTACTGGCAGATCCCCATGCATGAAGACGATAAGGAGAAAACGGCATTCGCAACCCCCGACGGGCTATGTGAATTCAACGTGATGCCTTTCGGGCTCTGCAACGCACCCGCGACTTTTGAGCGCATGATAGATACCGTGCTGCGTGGCCTGAAATGGAAAAGTTGCCTTTGCTACCTGGACGACATTATTATCTTTTCGTCAACGTTTCCTGAGCACCTAGAACGATTGGATCAAGTTTTGACGTGCCTTGCCGGCGCCGGGCTTCAAATAAACACGAAGAAATGCTCTTTCGCTAGCAAATCTATCAAGGTCTTAGGACACGTCGTTAGCAAAGATGGCATCCAGCCCGACCCTGACAAGATTTCTGCAGTCCTTCACTTTCCGCGCCCCGAAAAACCAAAGGAGCTTCGCAGTTTTCTTGGCCTCGCCTCCTATTTTCGCCGGTTTATCCAGAACTTCGCTTCTATTGCTGCTCCATTACACCAACTACTTGCTTCCAACGTCCCCTTTCTGTGGTCTCAAAAATGCCAAACAGCATTCGACCTGTTGAAGCGGGCACTCACGTCTAAACCTCTGCTCTGCCACTTTGACGAAGCCGCACCAACTATCCTCCATACCGACGCTAGCGGCCTTGGTATAGGAGCCGTTCTTCTACAACGCGACAAGTCTTCCCTAGAGAAAGTTATTGCATATGCCAGTCGCGTACTCACCGCTGCTGAAAAGAACTACACTATAACTGAGCAAGAGTGTTTGGCTGTGGTTTGGTCGGTCCAGAAGTTCCGTCCCTATCTCCACGGGCGTCACTTCACAATCGTTACGGACCACCATGCCTTATGCTGGCTTTCTACACTGAAGAACTTGTCCGGACGCTTGGGTCGGTGGATACTACGCTTGCAGGAGTACGACTTTGATATAACTTACAAGTCAGGCAGAAAACATCAAGACGCCGATGCTTTATCTCGTTGCCCGCTTCCAACTACCCATATGAGCGTTGGTGAGAACTCAACCGCCACATCTACCAAAGTTCATACGCTCGCATCGATAACGCAACCCTTTTCGGACAACGAGCCAACATTTATCTCCCGCCGGCGGTCCGATTCATACTGCAGACACATCATGGACCACCTTTCGGGAGTTTCTCATCCACCAAACGCGCGACTCCGTCGTCAACTCCTGCACTTTAAGCTGGACAATGGGGTTCTCCACCGCCACGTCTACCACCCTGACGGTCAGCGCTGGGTTCCTGTACTGCCACGCTCTCTTCGACTTCAGGTGCTCGAAGCCTTCCACGACGACTTGACTGCTGGTCATCTTGGTTTTAAAAAAACTCTTGACCGCATTCGATGTCGTTATTACTGGCCTGGCCTTTCTTCTAGTGTAGCTCGGTACGTCGGTTCCTGCTACCCATGCCAGCGTCGTAAACTCCCCACGTCGGCACCTGCTGGACCTCTACAGCCACTTCCGTGCCCTTCAATGCCGTTCGAGGTTGTAGGTGTTGACCTTTACGGACCTCTCCCCGTCACATCTGCTGGCAAACGATGGATAGTGACTGCCGTGGACCACCTGACACGCTACGCTGAGACTTCCTCTGTTATTACAGGATCAGCTGTGGAAGTTGCAGACTTTATTCTTCACGCAATAATACTGCGTCATGGGGCTCCTCGTGTACTGCTTAGTGACCGCGGCAAAGTGTTCCTGTCACAAGTTGTAAATGAAGTACTGCGCGCATCTGGAACTACTCACAAGACAGCTTCAAGCTACCACCCTCAGACAAATGGTCTAACAGAAAGATTTCACCGAACCCTTGCAGACATGATAGCCGTTTACGTCCAACCCGACCACAAAAACTGGGACACTCTTTTACCATTCCTGACATTCGCTTACAACACCGCCGTTCAGCGAACAACTTGCTACTCACCGTTTTACCTCGTGTACGGACGCACCCCGACTACCTTTCTCGACGTCTCCTTCTTTAGCAGCCATGGGAATTCATGTCAGTCTTCTAGCGAAGAATACATTTCCCGCCTGGCCGAGTCTCGCCATCAGGCTCGCATCAATACTGAAGCGAGACAGCACGAGCGGAATATCATCTATGATGACTCCCACCGCGTTGTCTCTTTCCAACCTGGTGACGAGGTGCTGCTTTTGACACCTATTCGCACTCCTGGTCTCTGTGACAAATTCCAACCACGCTTCATCGGGCCATACATTGTTTTAGAACAGACTTCGCCGGTTAATTATCGTGTGACACC